ACCCATTACACTGGCCAACAAAATTTGGCGGCAGAGTCAATAAGAGCAGATTCCTATAGATTTTTGTACGCAACGTCAGTATATGACCTTAGAATTTTCAGATTGGCTCTAGTTTTTGAGATATTTCGACTTAAAGGTGTCATAAAAAGAATTATTGACATACTTTAAACTGTTGTAATATAAACACAGTATATGATGGCATATTTTTAATGAGATGTAAAGAAAGCTTAAACCCTGTTCTTTTATCCCGACAGATAAAAATTCTTTATGGTTGTATTTGTTTTTGAAAAGTTTTCTAAATGCACAGGTAAGCAAAAAGTCGAACATTTCCGCACATTTCTACTATAAAAAATTTAAAATAACTGAGAAAATTTTCTTATTATAGCTACTCGCTGTGTAATTTGTATGTATTTTGAAACTTTTTTTTTTTGTAACTGACGCTTGTAAAAGTCAAATTTTTACTTTTTGTGCCAAACGAGCAATGTTCAGCTTTTCAACCGACTTCACAAAAACGAGAAGGTTATCTATTCTTCGGAATATTTTTTTATGTATGTTACCGCATAACTTTGGACCACGTTAACCGATTTCTATAATTGTATTAATTTTTTTAAGGGAAAGGTGTTACTTCACTGGTGGTCCCATACTAATTTGTTTTAAATCCGATCATTGGATCCTGAAGAAATTAACGATAATCTTGAATTTTTATATGTGAGAATTGACGTCAGTTTTGGTCTTAAAAATGACTTGTTTTACATCTTATTCAAAAGATGCTACTAGATCCTGTTATTCTATTATAGTTGTCTAAAAAATGCTTATGAGAATCAGGGTTGACTTTAAGTGCCGCAAACATTTTTTACCTTCTTACCTTCCTTTTAACTCGGGATGTAACTATGTAATATTGAGGCGCCTAAAAGATGCAGCGATTTCTATTCTCAAGTTACATACCTGATGACAGTGCGAATGGCAATTATAATGGGGAGGTTTTAGTTTTCTAAACTATAATTATTTGAAATTTTTTTGGCCGGCGGTAGGTGTTAAGAGGATAAAATGTTCTATGAAAAAAATACATACATACATACCTGCTTAGTTAAATTTTACTACACATAGATCTACGGACCATAATAATCAGCTGGAGAATTTTGTTATGTAGCTGAATAGTTTTAGATCTCAACACTTATCAAACTCTTGTCTTTCGTGACTTGGCAGGAACAGGGGATTAATAATAAAATATGGCTAGTTTGTGAAAAAAAAGGTAAAATTTAAAAATTGTGATAAGCATGAATACTAACGATAGTCCATTATTTCGTTAAATCCTTAAAATGACTATTTCACAAAGGTATCTTCCAAATTTCAAACCCCTTTACATAAACCAAAAAAAAAACTTCTCTGTACTTGCAAAAAATATGCTTATAGCTGAATTTTTCTATCCTTTTTAATGACGGTGGCTAATTATATGCATACACACTTGCACATATATGTACATATGTACGTATACTTGTACATATGTATGTACATATGCGTGTGTGAAAATATCGATAAATAAAAATAAGTTGTGTTTCAGTGCTTGAAAAGAATTGAAAATCTGAGATGTGGGAGTACATACCTATGTATATTAGGCTGAAGTCAGAGCATCATTAAGACCGAAAATAGATATCTGTTAGCGGCGAGTGAACCCATTTAATATGAAGATAATTTCTTTATTGCATTTAATTTTTGATTATTGGTAATTTATAAACTCAATACTAAGGAACAAGGAAACTTGTTGACATGTCGATCGTTTGTAACCACTTGGTGAATTCCAGATAGATTACGGAGTATATACGGATATACATACATACATATGTACATATGTAAGTAATTATTAATATCGCTCATTTGCTACAATAAACAGTTCGCCAGAAGACTGAAACAGTGGCCAAAATTGTTGCTTGACTATCTAAATGTGAAATAATCAGAAAAAAAAATGTTTTTATGGTAGATCTGATTATCCTAGGTATACAAATCCGTGGTCTGTCGGAGTCCAAAAATTATAAAATATTCGAGAAGACACGTATTTTGTTTTTTGTTTTTGTTTTGATGTTTTAACGGCTTTAAACGTATTAACAGTTCAAGGAAGTTGTTGAATAATTTTAAGTGGTGTCTTTTATGTCCCAAAAAAAATTAAAATTCATTGAATTTGGCTAAAATTGATAATGGGATTTTAAGAATTCTTTCAAAATTTAAACTTTTATTAGCCTGCAAATTGCTACCCTCGCAATATCCGGGCCTACCAGGAAGAGGTTACAGGAATAAAACACCCTACATTTTTTTATTTATTTTTATATGTATGTATATTTTTTAAATTTTTACTATTTATTTTTTTAAATATTTTAACTAAGGTAAGAAACTCAACCAGTTAAAAAAGAAACCAAAACACGTTCATTATTTCCAGTGTAATATTAGTCATCGGCCATTAAGATTTTTTTTTTTATTTGTATTTTATATATTTTTTTTTAAATATTTAACTAAGGGAAGAAACCCAACCAGTTGAAAAAAAATTATTTACAGAGTAATATTAGTCATCGGCAATTAGACAATTTTTTTTTTTAATTTGTGTTATATATTTTTTTCTAATTAATTTAATCAACAAAAATTTAAAAAAAATAAAGGTTTATTAAGTCCAGAGCAATTTTAGTCGCCGGCAATAAGATTATTTTTGTCAAACGAGGCAAAGCTAATTTATATCTTCATTTTAAAGCTCTAGGCAGTCCAACAATTTCTAAGTTTAATTAATTCCTGCGCATTCAAATTAAAGGTAAAGAAATGGTGCACTAAATTTAAATGTTTGTAAATCAAACAAAGCAAAAATATGCAAAAAACAACATGAATTTATTTTAAATTATACGAAAATATGCGCAGTAAATAAATAAAAACAAGCATTTCTTGCAAATTATGTAAAACCATGCATTTACTGCAAACTATGCAAAAATGTGCACTTACGATTGAATAACATTTTAAAGGAAATCTCATCACTCATGCATTTGCATGAGATTCCTAGTCCTACTTATTTGTATGAGATATGACCAGAACGGAAGGTTACTCATACGCCGTGTGTCATACATGTTCAAAGACGCACGCGCAAATTTGTTAAAAATTTAACAATCAATTACAAAAAGCGCAAGGTATTCGCCGATTTTTATTAATGTAGATATCTTTGGCTACAGAATTTATAATATATTTCGATCGTTATATATGTTTTTGTAAACAAAGATATCCACCATCCCTGTGGCCACAATCGGAATAGGGTAGCTTAAATATGTAATTTTTATTAATTCAAACGTGTTTTAAAACAAAAAATAATTGTCAACATATTTTTTTACAGTACTTTTTCAACGACTCATTGATAATTTCAACAAATTCAAGAGTTACATATGTATGTAAGTTAGAATTTGTTAATAAATTGATAAATTGATAAAAATTTTAAATAAGTCTACAAACGCTTTTTCAGATTTTATGGATTTGTTATGAACACAACAAAATGTTTCAAATGTCATAATAATTTGATTTTTCGTTATTCAAACTATCTCAATTAAATAACTTTATTAATTAAAACTTTTGAATAATATTAGTTTCGACAGGGGGTAATTCCAAGCTTGATTTCGCAAAAATTTTATTCAGTGGCTTTTGTGGTCAAAATGTAAAAATAGCGGTCTGGTTATTTTTTCGTCAGAATCACAATGGATCTCTGTGGCCATAGCCTTGCTTTTCGGCATAATTAATATACAATTTAAGGAGGAAAAGCTTTGATTTTACTTTTGGTACATCCATAGCTGCGTTTGTAGCATAAAGTATTTGACGCTTTACATTTACATAAAGCAATGCGAATGTATATGCTTTATAGGCAACCAATCTCCATGCGAAGAAACAAGTAACATGATAGCGATGTGAAGGAACAGAAAATGCATTTATAGATATTTCCGATTTGAAATAAAATTTTTATGAAATTTAGCTATGTGTGAATATGTAAAATTTACTAGTAAATTAAGTTTTTTTAATTAAAGCTATTGCACAACTTCAATCAAAATTTATCGAGTACAGTATTTCTATTTACATATTTGGGAAAAAATTATTCAAGTTCCCGCATACTAAAATTAAGAATGGGTCAAATTTCTCCCAAACGATGGGGTTAAATTTATTAAATCAGGGCTTGCTCCATCTGAGTAACTACTTATTATAGGTGCATTCTTTTGCGACCGAGCTATAAAATAACACTCAGTAAAGTAACGAAATACTTGCAAAGCAACAACAAAAATTCGGCTATTCATCCGAGTTCAGAGAGGTCGGTTACAAAATACGTGTTGTTAAGTGAAAAAACTGCTCTATTGTGAACTAGATGATGGGAAAGTGCTTAGGGATTTTTTAAAAAGAATTGCTCATTGCCATTGTTTTTTTTTTGTAAACCCCTTTAAATAATCACATGTTTTAGCTAACAGAAAATTTTACCCGAGTTGAATGTTCTTTTGCTGCTTATTTGAAAAAACACGAAGCTTGTACTTCAGAAATCGTTTCATACTTGTATATGTATACACTACACATCATTCATACGAAACCAGGGGCCGAACATAACAGTTATTGATGAAAACTGTCATGGAAAAATTCACTATAAGGGAAATGATCTACAACTAAGTTATACATGCCAATCGATTTCTCTTTTCACCGAGACACAGATTTGAAAATAAATTTTTATTTGCAATTTGTATGCTAAATTAAGAAAAATAACAATTATTTTTCATTTCATGTAGATAACAGTTATTGGAGACTTTTATCTATAAAAGTCATCAATAAAAATCAGTCAGTGACTTTTACTTTAAAAGTCATCAATATAAATCAATCACCGACTTTTTTTTAATCTAAATAATTGCAAACAACAGTTGTTTTTGATTTTTAAAATCAGTCACTGAGCTTTATTTTTTAAATCATTCATATAAAAGTCATTAATATATTTTGCAGTTAAGAAGGTGTTGGGGAAACAAAAGTTTACTACGACTTATACAAATGACTTTTATAAGTATGATTTAGAAAATAAAGCTCAGTGACTGATTTTAAAAATCAAAAACCAATCAACTGTTATTTGCAATTATTTAGATAAAAATCAAAAATAATTGTTATTTTGGATTTTATAAATCAGAAATAACGGTTATTTATGGAGTATTTAAATAAAAGTCGAAAAATAATTGTTAAATAGCAATTTTTTTAATAAAAGGTAACTGTTACGGTCCCTGTACGAAACTATAAATTTCACAGTTATTATTTCTGTGCAGATTTATTAAAACAAATAAGTATTAGTTCATACGATATTATATTTCTCAGAAATCGGACCAAAAATATTTCTGTTTTTAATTTAAAAATAAGGAGTCTAAAACCAAAGGCGTCAAATGAAAATATAAACTCGCAAAACAAACAAATAACTCTGCTTTATAACTAAATTTTGTAAATGGTATTTCCAACTTTGCTTTAAAATACTACTCGAAGACTTTGCGCCAAACATCGCAGCAAGTTTCTAACAGCTCCGATGGAATCTCTAAGAAAAATGACTCCAAGTTTGCGCAGCTGCCTTTTGGTATTTTGTAGCTCAAAATTTAGCACTGATTTGAGCTGAAGAAGAGATGCGAAACTTAGTACGGTGGAGGTCCAAACCCAAAATTTCGATGCGCGTTGAGCTCCTTATGAGAAGAAAAGTTGTATAGAGCCCTGAAATTTCATCAAAGGAATTGAAAAACTAATATTTTTCGCCCGGTTTCTGGAAAATGATAAACCTTTATGTCTTTGTTATTCTTCAGACGTCTATATATGTACATAAGTATGATAAATCTGCACTGAAATAACTACTGTGAAATGTATACTTTCATTTGATGCCTAGTGTACAAACTCAAACTTTGAAATCCGCGACAAATCATGATATCTCCAGTACATTTTGGGTGCGGGTGTTTGGGTTTGTTGCGCCTCCTATAGACACTGCGTATGCGATATTGTACCTTTCACTTTAAGGATGATCCCCTAAACTTTATTAAAAATCCAAATGTCTAAACTCTTTCGTGTGCCAAAGTTTCGCCAATCCCATTTCATTATCGTTCATACACATACATACATATACAACCATACATACATATCTACATATAAAACATCATATCAAGTATGAGATAATTACAAATTTTATTTGTTTATTTTTTAAACATCAACAACATCGATCGATGTTCCCACGTACATACATACATACATATACATAATATGTATATACATTTAATCTACAACCAAACATCGATGAACGGCTGCAGAGTGCGACGTAAACTGCCACAAGAAATGCGAGCATTTAATGGCCAATTTATGCGGCGTCAACCAAAAGCTGATCGTCGAAGCTTTAGCTTGCGTCAAGCGAGGTAATCAATCGCATGCATATGATCACTTAGTATCCAATAAATGCCAAAAAGTACTTATGTATATCGAAAAGTACGCCACGGTTTAAATCAAATATATAT